TACACCGGCATCTTCCACTACGCCACAAGTTGTGAGGTCAGAGTTCAGGAGAAAACGAAGATGTCTTCGTATCCTTCGGTCGTGCCATACAGTGGGGTAGAGCGGCGATGTCACCTCAACCATATTTTGTGAAATGTTTGCGGTATTTTTGTTGACTCATCTACGCCTTGCCCTTCTCTCAGTTCGAATAGCTATCAACCACCGTTCACTGTGTAATGAAATGAACCGGTTGATTGATGAACTGACTGACAAGTCTTACTTGATTGTTCCACGGTTAAACTGACCTTCGAGCAATCGGTGTCAGTGGCGCTATCACGTGTAGAATCAGACGACACGCCTGAGCCAGACGTTGGGAATACTGCTTCTGGCTATTTTGTGTAATTCGTCGCAACTGCGACGTGACCTTACTGTACTTAATTTCGCCAGTGCCGGTCGTGTGCACGTGGTCATCGCATGATGAGCACAATGGAAAAATTTCGACTGAGAGCACTCTAGACACTGCTCATAATTTTGAGCTTTCAAATCCAACTACGATTCGCGTTACTGCCAACTATACAGGATCGCGCTGACGGGGCGGACTGTAAAGTTTCGTTCACCATTAACAGCAATGTACAATATATCTGTTCCTTGTAGAATGGCAGAATACAGTGAACTGCGTTTTTAACACTTTTCGTCTGCGTTCACTACGCTTTACAAAACCGGTTCAAGTGTGGGACTGTGAACAATTTTGAGAGTATTTGATCACATCCTCAGTCTTGTCTCCACCGCATGCACATTCGTGATTGGTTGAATTTGACCTCACTTTTGGGAAGTTTTCACAGGTGAAAGCATTTGAGATACTACGGTCCCTCCCTCTAACATTAGGTTTATAAATGCTGGTTTTCATCCGGTACTAAGGGAGGCAAATTTGTATTATCCGTATTGAGACAGTCGAATACCTTTGCAAACGAGGAATTGGATGCGAAATGTTTGGACGAAGGAAACTCCTTACCTTATGAACTACTAACACCTGCATTCGTATAATAAACACGATCAAATAGCGTTTGTCTGTTACAGGCGTGTAGAACACCATCAATCTTCACGGTCTGTTGTTTGCATGGACAGAAAGAGGTTTTGCAGTAACTCATATTACTCGCCGTGCAAGTAAGCTTAATGAACTGGAATTTCAAGGCTCGACAACGCAAGATTTTCAACAGACTCGAATCATCTGACCTTCTGATTGCCTGTTGACTGCCTTTCGCATGGTTTTCAAAGACAGCCACACTGCGAGTTTCTCATTTCATCTTTTGATTATGCATCCAAACATTATCGCAAATTTGGTCTTTTGATGTCAAGATTCTGAGCCTATCGCGAACTGCCTTGTGCCGAAGCTTTTCGAGTAGTCGTACTAGCAACCCTCAAAAAAATTTTACTTCAGCCTCGTGTGCTCAGGATCACAGTCGTTCACGGGCCGTACTCATGATAAGACTTTGTTCCTTTCGATAATGTTGAAGTTGGCTATTGATTCGTTTGACGTATGGAAATGGCCGATTAAGACAATGGTCATTGATCAGGTGCACATACTGCGATCATTGGCACCTTAAGGGTCAAATTTATTTTTGAAGGTACCATTACCATTTCGACATCTTAGCCACTATCATATACACCAGAAACACAACCGACAAGGCAACGAAGTGAGCATGCACGAAATAGTCAAAATGCTAAGGATTGTATCGTCTGACCAGGCCAACGACAACGACGCTTGGTTGCCTCAGTGTAGAGTTTACTTTATGTCTGACTGCTTCGGTCCTGCGATGCCGAGCGAAGCCGCCTAAACCGAACAGATTAGTAGTAGGCAGTCGATGAGCGACGACCTAGCGGTCGGTCACCTTGCGTCCTAGCGACTGCAGCGTCATGCAGACGGAGAACAGGTCCCTGGCCTCGAACAGATCTACGCTCTGGAACGTCTCCTCGTCTGGAACGCCGATGCGACGGCACGCTTCTACGAACTGGTTGATGTTTTCCATGCAGGCGAAGTTCGAAATCGGCTTCTGAATCTTCGTCGGCTTATCCGGCTGGATACCGTTCACAAACCTACGTGTCACCGCTGTCAAAATCATTGCCAACTGGCGAGTCTTGACAGCCGCTCATACTTGCAAAGTAGAACGCCGTCCTTCAGCTGCTCGTAAAAGTTGTTCAGGTCGCCAGAGGTATCGAAACCTTCCTTTGTTACAGCTTTCATCCATTCAAGAAGATTGTGAGCTTCGGTTTCGTTGAACTTCGCCCTTTGCTGAAAGCATTTTTTCGCCGTTAGGCGAGCATTGACTCAGAACCAAGGAGGGAACAACCGCTTTCCGTTTCTTTGCAACCAAATTTTACGCCTTGCATTGCTGTCGGTTGTAAGGAGGCTCGAACGACGCGGCAGCGTGCAAAGGAAGTTGAAACTGCGGTATTGAGACAACGCCTATAGCCTGAACGAGGGGCTTGAGCAATCAGCAATCAGCAGAAGGAGAGACGAAAGTATTTTCGTGATGGTCAATCAATGCAGAAGGCAATCCCGGGACACCGTTTCAGACATATTGGAAACCATGTCTTGATTTAAAACTATTGTTCAAAGTTGGAACCAGTCTAGCAACAACCGTCGGCTTGTTAATACTCAGTTTGTTCTATCTACGCCTGTACTTATAGTTTGCCAACAATTTCAAACACTAGAAACTACGATCTCTGCATATCTCTCGAACAGAGTAGACGTCCAAATTTTAGCAATAACATCACTGAATGACAGCCCTTAGTCGACTGTGCGTATGAAGCTACTTTTGACTCAGCCTTCCACAGCTTCTCGAATGCGAAGTGAATCGTGCAGCGGAATTATATTCAATGTCAGAATGGCGTAGGAATTGAGGGAAATCGACCTCCATTAAAAAGGTAAAGGTTCACCAACATATCATATCATACCTTATGGCATACATTTCTGCCAGACGGCGTGATAAAATCTTAATAATGAAGCACGCAAAGTCAGCGCATGAAGTTGCGCCTGTAGTATCTGCTGTTCATGGCACGGGAAAGGTGACCGCAGAGAAAAACCAACCTCGCATAATACAATGAGAAGATATACGTTTATGAAACCCAGCAGAATGGCAATGATCAGAATGGTTGAGCTCCTTTCATTGCTTGGATTCAAAATAGCAATGGGCATTTCAACATATTTTTGCTCGAACCCACTGAATTCCAAAAACCGAAATATTTCTTCTTCGCGCGACATTGTCGATTGATAAAGCAGTTCTTTGCGACGTGATCTTAATATGATCGTCATGTCCAATAACCACCTTGAAATTAATGAAAGTGACCTTAAAAAGCTGCACTCAGAACTCAATACTCAAAATAAATGGCAGGTATTTGAAGCCATCGTAACTTCAAAGACTGAGGTATAGCTCTTTCCGGATTTCTAGCTAGTGTATATTTCTTTCCGGATACATCTTATAGGCGATTCCGTCAACAAAATTAATACAATGTAAATTAATGCAGATAGAGTGAGACACGTGACGGCACCAGGTAGGTGAATACTCATGACTGGTGGAGCGAGTAGTGGGCAGCTGCTTCAACCAGGCCTTATTTGGACAATTCGTGAAGTCGTTTCTGTGATGGAGCGCTTAATTACGCGCATCACGTCCGTAGAGCTTTGGCGCTTTATGAACCGATTCTTATTCTGGTATATGTTTAGGTCATTCACGGAAGGTTGTTCATTTGCCAGTGACGTAGATTCCCTCTTCAAACAGATTTAATGGTTACTCATTCAAGTGTTGGGAATGTAATCTGTCCATTTGATGTTCGATGGTTGCCTTTGACATTTCATAGAGAGGATTGGAGTGTTCTGAGAGTTAAAACATAATAATTATGAAGTACCTAAGTACGACGGGTACGGCAAGTGCTTCTAATAAACGGAATTTCGTTTTGAGCTTACCGCCAGACGTGTGTCTGAAACCTAAGGACCGAGACAGCCAAATCGATTTTGCGTAGCACCTCTGGTTTTCATCGCTAAGAGAAGCATTCTTTGCTGTCTCTTGCGCCGCTCTCGGTTAGCTTGTTGGTACAGTCTCTAAGAGGTTTGCTTCGAACTCCGAAGATGCGTGTTCGATTCCGCTTGAGGGCAACCATTGTCTCATTCACGAATTCCCTTGAGCAAGGAATTTACCACACATGGCTTCAGACCGGGGTTGCTCAGTCGGTAGAGCGTCGAGCTAAGAACCGGTAGATCGCGAGAGTCATTTGCCTTTCTCTGTTCTGAGGTTGATAAATAGGTATCATTCTCTGGAAAAGAAACAAGAGAAGTAACGCTAAGCTTGCCACATGATTATAGGTCTGCATTTAAAATAAGGCATTCCAGGTAGATGGCACAGAAACGGAGTCAGAACCGCACCATCAACTTAATGAAAAGAAGGGAGCCACTAGGTCTGAACTAGAGTGAAAAAAGGCTGACATTCAAATGATGCAAAAATTTCCATGTCCTACTTCCCCTGTTGCCTAAGCAAACGAATTCACAGAATGCTCCCTGTGTTTGACCATCAAGTACAATGCCTTGAGCCGGCTCACCTGCTGCCACGTTTCAGGGCTGTAACGGTGCAAAATGATCTTAGCGACTTGCCTTTGAGGCAACACCGCATTATCGTTATTGAGATTGAATCATGCAAATAATGAACGAGTCATCAGTGCAATCCTCAACCGTGAACGTGCAGTCGCTTACTAATATTTCGGCATTACGTTAGTTCTACTTGTGACTTGTTGTGTTGGTTACTGTGTGATCCATGGCCAAGCAGACAGAACTATTTTAAAACTCTTTTATGTGGAACTTCAAAAATATCAGTTATACAACCCCTGAGTATGTTAGTAAGCGAACATTTTCTCCTAAATCGTGTTCACTTGTTTGCCGTGTACTGTCCTAGAGCTGCGAGATGCTTAGGGTGTTGTGTAAACAAGGGTGGGTCGATGTTTCTTGCAGAAAGGACATGCATGAATCGGTGGCTTGCTCAAAGACATTGCTAAGCGCTTGAAATCGATGGAAGTGAGCAAAACGCTTTGAAGTGCAGTAACGGAAAAGTTATTCAGCAGCAAATATGCTAAACTGAATTAAACCAGTTGGTTATATGGTTAACAGCTATTACTAATCGACTGCCAGATTATAGGATTCTGCGTTTAGAAGCTATCACCACCTTTGTATCAAATTCGCTGTTACTTTAAGCGCCCAAGATCACCCAGGATCTCGAAGTAGCAATAGTGCTACCTAATCGTATATTAATGGAGATTCTAGCGGAGAGTGGAGATGATTCTCGCGAACGCGCTTTACCCAGTTGAACAGGTTGCCTGGAGTACATTTAACTACTGGCAGGAAATTGAATTTTGAAGGGCAGAGGCTCAAACTCCCTCGATTATTCAACTGATCAACGGACATGAACTCATTTAAGCTCGAATGACTCTCAACAGATAGTCGAATATATTAGGTAACTGTTTTACTTCAGTTTATGAAACAGATCTGAAATTGAATTTATAATGAAGGGGCTATGACTAAAAAGTAAAAGGAAATCAGAACTCATTTGAGGAGACTTCAAAAAGTTGCTCGACGGTTTTGGAGACACCGCAATTACAACGAAAACGATTATCACATTTTCGAGAACACTAATATTTCACGCAATGGGGCAGACCCTTAACACCACGATGCTAAAGCGCAATGAGTAATAACATGATAGTGTCAAATAAAGCTATTTGCGTAACTTTCTGATAGCGTTCAAAGAACACCGTCACAAGAACTCAAAGCCTGGCGCCTTTCGTAATTATGTCGAGCAATTAGAGGCGAGGATGGTGGCACATTGGCAATCGGGAGGCTTAGAACTTAAGAGCTGCCGGACTCTAGTCATGGGAACTGGCAATATTCATTTTACCTTCGGTTTCCCACAGAGCCAGGAATTTACCCCACGTCGCGCTGGCCGTACCAGCCGAGAAGCGGGGAGCAAGTCGTTGACTTACAACCAACTGCGACAGGATGGTGTTCTGGTGAGGTCATTTCAGAGTGAGCGAGAGGTACGACAATACTGTATGTTGTGAACATCTCTCTGCAATTCGCCTTGACCCACCTGGTAGCCGGAGGTCCAGTGTGATAATCACCGCATGTGCAAACCTCGAAAGGTGCTATGCTTAAAATGAGAACAATCTTGTCTAAAAGTTAAGGATTTTTCATCGCAGAAAAGCAACGACTCTGTCTACAACACTCAATAACTTCTAAAATATATATAACTCTCAATAACTTCAGTTTTCATTGGGTAAGTGGACTATAAGCGTAGTGACTGAATTTTCCCCGTTCTACTGGTTGCTTGACGCGACGATGACAGCAACGTGTCTGATCATTAAGTCATTTGAGCTAGAACCTTTTCCTGATATGGTTTGCTGAATTGCAAACTTTCAAGAGTGTTCTGAAGCAGGGTGTTGAGCGCGCGATCTTGTAGTACAAAATCGCATTGCTTTTTGCTCAAGATTCTTTCCGCCTGTGTATGCAAACGTTTATTGCCGGCGAACGACACTCCAAATTTATGATGTAAACAGGAATTGGCAAGAAAGAGTGACCGGATGTCGACGCTTTTCAGTGATTGCCTTTTCGACCTGCTCATCGTTTGACTCCATTCGAAAAATGAGTATTGCATCGTTTCCATTTCGAACCTCTGTTTAATCTTAAATTTGCACTAAAGAGAAGATTCATAACGACGGAAACTGCCTTCCTTTATTGCCTTCAATGTAGCAATGTGCTTACAGCCACTTTTAGCTACACCAATACCACTTGATATAACCTACGTCCGCTCTGCCATACGAATGGTACGTCGATTTTAGAGATTTATCTGCCTCGCGTACAGTGTACCCCCTGAACTGGAGGATGATACTTTGTATGGTTACTTCAAAAATGTTAATATAGTGAAGCATATTCTCCCCATTCATTACGGTAATCATACTAGCTTATTCGGACCCCAACGGGGTAGCTTCGTGAGTCACTGGCGCTGGAATCTGACACAGTGCTTCTCGCCTTTGAGTCAGATTTGTCTCCGTTTCCACGACATCAGTCAAGACTCCCTTATTTTAAAAGCAGAGTTAACAGTGGCTCTGTAGCCAGCATACGGTGCAGTTTTCTGTTTCTTCCGCCACAAAGTGGTGCTCATTTTTTTACCTGGCAAGAAAGAAAGACGAATGAGCCACACCGGACCTTGCGGTTCTCGGTCCAGTACTCTTCCGATTGAGTGGAGAAAAGGATCAGGGGCAAGTTATGGTGAATTCCTTGTTTAAGGGAATTCTGGCGGAATCAAACCTGGTACCAGCAGATTTCGAAGCTCATCTATAAGGTACTATGCGACCGCGCCACAGTCATGATGCGCCCACTTCTGAACAACGAATCATGTGGTTTGCTGCGGACCGAATCTGATAGACAAGGGAAAGAAGCGCTACTCGGTGAAGCAGGCTGTAGTCGTGAACGCGCAAGCCTAAAACCAGGTTGATACCTTTCAGGCTTTGCGAACAACTGCCAACGAGCTGAAAAGAAACGAACAGCGATCGCTTGATAGCATTTTACTACCTTGTCCAAAACGGCTTGTGCGAGTCCGTATCCCCTCGGCCTTCTAGACATTCTGCCGCCCGACCAACGATTGACTCTGCGCTCTGCTCTTAAGTATTGTCTAGATGAGCTGAAACTGCGGTGCGGCACAGACCACACAACCAGAAAGAAGACCGTGAAAATGTATGCCACTCAGGCAAGTCGTCGTCATGTAACTCATCAATGTTTACGTTGTTGGAGTGATGCTATTTTTGCGTCGTTGCCGCGCTTGTCGCCCACTTGGCGTCCGCGAAAACCTCGTCTCGATTCGCTGTATCTGCCAAACGGTGTATCACGACAAACCGACCGAGCAACGCCGAACATCGTCGCAAAATCTAGCCGAATGCCGAGTGACGGCTTCAGACATCTTGGCTTTAAATCACCAGTCAATCAACGGCTTATTAGCCTTGCAATGTAGCTATTATTAGCAGCAAAGACCATCTTGAGGTACAGTTTATACCGTATATGCAAAAAAAGCAATGCCAAAGGGTTAAGATTATAATTATTTAAAAAATAAGCCGTTCTGTACTTCCGGATCTCTAAGTGTCCCGGAAACGACTGGTAGGATTAAC